TTGATATGTTCGAAAAATCTATTTATGTCTTGAGTGCTAAGTATGGTGGATGTGTCATCTACACACATAATTGACCCTAATAAGATAAGAAATCTGGAGAATAGTTCAGCCATAGATAGCACTATATGCAATTACACACAACCATACAATAGGATGGGATAAGATGACAGTTCTAAAATCTAAATACCAACAGGGTGGAGGAAGAGATCGATAACGGAAGCTTTATTTATCGAATCAACTGAAAACGTGTAATAGGAATAATTCGACACCTGTCCAGTAGGACTTGAGGAAAATTCTACTACTACTGTGGTGAGAGCTGTCTACTAGCCAAATTGGTAGACAGTAATTTACGTCAATATTTACGTTCCCAAGATTTGTCGTGAGAAACAACCAATCGGAAGACTGTGTTTGTTTGTTTACATACCCATAGTAATGTACATGAAAACATGTATAAATATGCGTTGATTTCCTTAATAAATGATCTGTTGCCTGTCCCTTGTCTTTTGTTGTTACACTACTAATACCCCTATGACGAACAGGAAGGAATAAAGAAAACTATAAAACGGAAGTTTCGAAGTTGTGTAGTTATAATTGATTCGATGATTATGAACAATAAATAAATTTTGTTCGAAACGTCAATATCCAGTAAACAATCCTGTTTCACACAGTGTTATATGTGTAATAAACAATTTAATATGAAACTGCCTACTCTCACTGTCCGCAAGTTTTAGGCATACATTAATAAGTGAAGTGATCAGCTCATCGAAATGAATCAAAATTTTGATTTATGTCTGAAACTATGGTTATATCTGAATTGATTTCACATGTGTGTTGTTCATAATCGAAAACCATATTCTAAACTAGTTATGACTACTTGAATTCTTTTTTTTTAACGCATGTTTGTATATTTTAAAGGTCACTGTGTTATGAACTGTGTGTGTGTGTGTAGTTTCATTTATGAAGTGAACAGCAGCGAGATGGTAGATAATTGATCCATATGCGCATGCATTTCTCTTGTTTGCATATACGGGTGGGTATACAGACTCTATATTTTAATTCAGTTCAGTCGGAAAAATAACCTTTAGTGGTGATTATTGAAATGGTTTTTATGAAATAATCAATGAAACGTATTCATTGTTTAATGGGATTTACAAGATAACTGCTTGATAATGATACAATGTTACTTCGGTGATCATACATTAGTGTATATACACATACGTACATCTACAATCATATACTGTCTGGCTGTATGCATAAAGCCCGATGAACAAGATTCGGATTTTCAACACAAATGTTAAGTCAGTCAGTCAGTCCTTCAGTATAGGTCAGAAACTTGGCTCACACGTCATCAAGAGCACTTCAAACACGCCACTGTAGACTTTTATCGACATCCACCTTCTTTGGTTCCATACTGAAGATCAAATGGCCAGCTGGCCAGATAGAATGAGCAACAAGAAACTATGGGAACAAACTAACAGGCGGGAACCTTTTGCTCAACAAATATTCCGAAGAAAATGTAGATGGATCGGTCATACGCTGAGGAGACCGTCTGGTGACATCCCGCACCAGGCCACTGCCTGAGTGGAACCCGAATGGGAAACGACGAGTTAAGCGTTGGTCCGAGGGTGATATGGAGGAGATTGTGTGATCTGGAGGGGATGAAAGATTATGGCCATCGTGGGGTCAACTGAAGAGGATCGCAGAAAATAAGATGAAGTGGAGATGTATTGTTGAAGCCCTAATGTTCTGCTCGGAACCTAAGGGAACAAACAATCATTATATATTATTATTGTTTTCTTTAGTTCCTAGAGGAACATGAGGTTTCAGCCGCACGTCTCCATTGCGTTCGGTCCTCCGTCAACGTTTTCACCTGGCTCCACGTCTGCCCACTTGCTTTCATCTCCTCTTCGCATGAGCTCCTCCATGTCACCTCACTCTCGGAAGACCAACTCGCCGCTTCCCACTCGATCGATGGCCTGTCGTGTGGTGTCACTCGATGATTTTCTCAGAGTATGGCCAATCCAATCCACCTCCATTTCTTCCTGCATATTTGTTGCACAATCGGTTCCTGCTGGGTTGGTTCACTCCCAGAGATCCCTCCCTGTTGCTGATCTTTTCTGGCCGGCCATCTGATCTTGAGTGAAGTGTTGAGCGAAGACAGCTGTAGATGAAAGTCTTTAGTTTGTTCGAAGTGCCTTTCATGACGCACCAAATCTCTAATCCGTTTAGTACCACTGACTTCACATTGGAGTTGAAAATCCGGATCTTATTTTTCATGCTGAGTGCTGTTGATCTCCACACAGACTTGAGAGAGATGAAAGCTTGCTTTGCTTTCCCGGTGATCCTCGCTTTGATATCTTCATCAGTTGCGTCCTCCCTTAGCTGAAACGATGCTTCCCAGGTAGCTCAAGGAAATTGCCAGTCCCATACATAGTGTGGACGTTCCTTGTCCGCACACAGACTTTTCTTTTGTCACAAGGAGGCTCATCGTACTGAAGTTTTTGTAGCAGTTTTGTTTACAGGGTGAAGTTGCTAGCCTCGTGCCTGAGAAAGGGGTTGTTACATGAATATATAGTTTACAGAGGAGCGACATTTTTGGTTGCTCCCCTTAGAATCAGGAAAACAATGAATAAAGCAATCGGAACAACAACAGCAAAAAAATCACAACAGGAAAGGCAGCGGCAACAACAACAAAAACCTTAGCAGTAATATCACTGTCAAATACAGTTAAAAAAATGATATCAAAACCATAGACTCACTAACTTGGGTCAACTTGGACATGTAAATCCAACAATATATACAATTATAGACATTAGTTAGTGTTAAACAGTCACAAAATGGCAAACAGATAGTTATAGGTATTATCAGTCAACAAGATTATATCCATAGATTCAGTGTTCGAAGGTAAACGAATTACAATAAATTCCACAACTTCCTGGCCAGAAACACCGGAAAAATGAGAGTTTTATGTAACTAAGCGAATGTAGAGCACTAATCGAAAAGGGAACAAAGAATAATAAATAATAATATATGTATATAATTGAAAGGTTTTGCTAAAGTGTTCGAACAATTCACACTGCTGTGTGAAATTACTCACTCTGTCATTTTAAACAGTTCACAGAATATAGATCATCAAATTCTGTGTGCGTCTTTCGACATCAGCTATATGAATTTGACTTTCATTTCTGAATTCGGCCATCTTATGGATTCTACCCCTATTGGGAGATATGTTTATCTTTTAAATAATTTACATAGGTTGATTATGTTTCATTTATGTTTTCAATTTGAACTTAGCTAACATTGCTTAAACTAGTTGTATATTAACTGTGCCTAACCAACCTTTTTGTTATACATTTTGTTTGTGTATATATATAATCAAGTGTTTTACTTCTATTGTTATGCTTCCTGTATTATTTAATGGCAGAATTTTCAGCCTAATCCCTACAATATTTTGAGTCCTGTTATGTTTATTTCTAGAGAAGTTTGCAAATGTTCGTAAAACTATAAAGATACCAGAGCTCTTACGGGTCTATGCATTTTATTTTAAATCAGTTAGTAACACGTTTTAATTGTCCTATGTTTATGAGGTTTACTACCGTTTGGTAGGTCTTACCAGCGTGTGCAACCTGGATTCCAATAGTAGCCACCATTAAACAAATAACATCAGGCGGCGTTGAAGTTCCTGTACTAGGGGCCGACATGTCAACAATGGGGAGAACATCGTGTTCCCCTGTGAACAATCAACGGGAAACACAAAACAGCTTTGACGAAATCTGCCGGATTGTTTTATCATAGTTATAAGGAATTCAAATTGTTTAGCCAGAAGTTAAGGTTGTAGCCACAAAATTGTGTATTCAGTGCTTACCTTGTTACCATAAGTAATACCTGAATTCCACCACATGAGAAATTCACTGCAATAACAACTGCTCAAAGATTATTTGATTTAAGTTGACAAACTGTGAGACATGTATTTTATACTCGAGCAAAATCATAATCAGTGTTAATCTACTCATTGTTGAGGATGATTATTATTGTTCCCTTAGGTTCCGAGCAGAAAATTAGGACTTCAACAATACATCTCCACTTCATCTTATTTTCTTCCATCCTCTTCAGCTGACCCCACGATGGCCCATAATCTTTCATTCCCTCCAGATCACACAATCTCCTCCATATCACCTTCGGATCAACGCTTAACTCGTCATTTCCCATTCGGATACCACTCAAGTCGTGGCCTGGTGCGGGATGTCACCAGACAGTCTCCTCAGCGTATGACCGATCCATCTACATTTTCTTCGGAATATTTGTTGAGCGAAAGGTTCCCGCCTGTTAGTGTGTTCCCATAGTTTCTTGTTGCTAATTCTGTCTGGCCAGCTGTCCATTTGATCTTCGGAATGGAATTAGCGAAGGCAGATATTGATAAAAGTCTACGGTGGCGTGTTGGAAATGCTTTCTGTGACGTGTGAGTCAAGTTTCTGACCCATATAGAAGAAATGACTGACTGACTTATTATTTGTGTTGAAGATTCAAATATTGTTCCTTATCCTGAGTACAGAAGATTTCAAAATTGATTTCATAGTGAAGTTGTACGTTGCCTTTCTGACTGTAGCTTTGACATCTTCATCCGTGCTGTCACCTGTGGTTGAAATAATGCCACCTAACCAGATGATTGGTGCAAGTTATCTCTTTAAAATTTCTTCCGTTGATGGTGACTGGTGCTCTTTGTTATTGGTTGGTTATCTTCATCAACCTCCTTCTTTTTTATGTTCATTTTGAAGTTCTGTCTTCGCTGACTGCTTTTAATGTCAACGTTTTGTTTTGTTGTGTGGTATAATGCACCAATTTTGAGTATCACTCATTTCAGCTATGCTCAATTCTTTAATAATGAATGTGTTTTAGAAAGTAATGTTGACCTAAATTCAACTGTGTATTTTTTAGATATCACCTGTATTTATTATCGTTTATTATCGTTCTCTTGTTTTCTAATCCCGTGAATGTGTTAGACATCTCAACCAGTAAGAACTGGATTTCTAATGTGGAGTCATTTCGTCAATAATTCATGGTCTGCTAAACCATCCATACGATTGCCCAAATCATCTGTTGAATATCGATCTATAAACAGAAATGGTGAAAAGCGAAAAGAAACGCTGCGTGATATCCACCTTGTAGACTCTTTCGATTCAAATTCTTCTGCAAATGATGTATCAAGTCAAAATGGTCCTTGTGAAGGAGAATCTCAACAGGTTTCTGTTTCATCATCTAATGTTAGCCAACCAATGGAATCTGTTAGCCTTGAGTCATCTGTTAATTCGAAGTCATCGTCATCATCATCAGCGTGCCTTACACGTTTATTTTGTGTCCTGCAAACGGATACTTCTTTCTCATTTTATGCTGCACGTGCTGATACGCGTGCAGTAAATAAAATCACCGTGATCGGTTTACGACTCTTTTATTTGGATGAAGATTCACCTAACAAACCATCAGATGATGGCAATATCTCAAAAAATCAATCCCTGCCATGTGGCAAATCTCATAGTTTCGATAATTCATCTCAATTATTGATGAATACAGAAGCTTTAGTGGATGCTCTTCAATTATCTAAAGCGGAGTGTCCGAATTTCCCTCGTCAAGGTAATCCAATCTACAGAAATTTCAAACCTCCTCCACATGCTCGTAATATTTTAGGTCATAATTCCTCTGTCGAGTCTCCTAGTCTTTCACTTATTGCCACCTTATCAAAATCTTTAACTCATACTCATGTAAAATCTCTATCAGAGGTTGCATTATCCAGTAGACTATCAAACCGATCCACACAATCTTGTCGAGAACGATTATCTACAGAAAATCATGAAAATTCTTCACAAAAGATATCAGAAAATCAAGATATCGCTGCTAATGGTACGCTAACGGATAAAGATATTGTAAAGCATTTGGACTCAGTCAGTCCTGAGATCTTGAGTCTTCTACGTAACAATTTGGGTTTTCTTTTATTACCGTTAAATACTGACCGGCCAGCTCATTACTTTGAAGCAGCAACAGTTGAAATCAGAACTCAGTAAGTTGCACTTTTGATTTTTGACTAAAACTTTTATTGTTTTAAAGTGGTTGGATTCATTTGCTTATATTTACTCAATTAGAACACGTCTGAGTATAGAACTCAGTCATTTGGAACTGATTTTTCATATACCAGGATACGGGTGCAGCAGGCTAGTTTCGCATATGCCAGTTTAAGCCGTCTCTGGAGTAGACGTGATATCCGTCTGGCTATCGACCGAAGGACGTGTGTATTGCTCAGAAGTATGCTTCGTCCTCCTTTGTGGCTGTGAGACCTGGTCATTGAGAGTGGAAGACATGAAAAGCTTGACTAGCTGTCTTTGATCATAGGTGCCTGCGTTCTATCTCCTGTGTCAAGTGGTAAAATAGGGTGAACAATATCGAGGTTAGATATCTGTCGAGTGCTAGGTAAGGAGCGAGGGGAAATCAGTCGACGAGGTTGTGAAGTTACATCGATTGAGATGTTTAGGACATGTGTTACGCATCCCTAGCCATCGATCACCTTCGTCGACGGGAAATGTTAGCTGACATAGGATCAGGCTGGAAAAGAGCTAGTGGTGGTCAAACCAAAACATGGCACCAGTCAATAAAATCCACAACAGTCAGTTTAAGTCAGTCACGTAGGAAGATGTAGACTTCCTAGTTGGGGTCCTCGGGACGGTAAAAACCAATGAAGGCTGGAGAAAATTGGTGATATGGCTCAAAATCCTCGTTCTCAATGGTTGGCGCAGATGCATCCACTCCTTGTGACTTTTAATTTTCAATGAAACTATATTATTCTTCCATATTACTATTCCTTTCTCTCATATCCCTGTTTACTGTCTCAGTATGCATTTCTTCTGCTTTCTTCTCTTGCTTTGTGTGCTACATGGAGTGTGGCGACTTGAACTGCCGCACATCGGTGCAAAGCTCTATGTCGAAAACAGACAGACATACCAGGTTATGAGCTGCATTTATTATGTAATGTCTGGTGACAATACAGAGTTGTTGAAGCTGAAGTAGGTGGGGATGGGTTACGACAACGGTGCCCACTGACCGATAACCGAGTGCTCAAGTTAATGAGACATTTCTCCACTTAAGTCAGAATAAATCTATTCTTAGATGATGTCATAGTCTGTTTAGAGAATTATTGATCAACAGTAAACGTATAGTGACAAATTTTGGTTTTTCGTTTGCACTGAAGTTGTTAAATATTTTTTGTCCTTGTCACGTGTTTCTAAGGAATTTCGATTATGTAGGTCTGTGAATCGGTACAACTTTAATAATAATGGTGATAATAATCACTTTATTATAAACAATAATAATAATTATACAGAATGGAATTTTCAGCGTTTTTATACATATTCCAACGATTTAGCTACTTTTATAAATATGTAAATAAATAAAATTAAAAATAATAATTAAAACCACAAAAAATTGAAGGTTGTAGGAAACAGAATGAATTATAAATGGATAATGTCACAGATGTAATAATAATGATCTTTGCTCATACTTTACAGTTCAGTTAATGATTTAAAAAGGTTATAAGTTCTTTTCTGACATCCGACTCTTTACACAAACTCGCGCTAAATATGGTATGGTAGGATTTTTATATTTAGTAGCTATAAGAGCATAAATTCTTATGGAGTTTTTTCTGGCTTTACCCCGAAGATATACGAGGAAAAGCTTGCGAATAAAGAGGATGTTCAGTATCAGACAAGATAACTCTAAGAGTTGATTTTCCAATTTGACTATGGATTGATATCAGTTAGAGAACCACTGAAAACCATAGAGTACTGGATAGCTGTTTTATCCTAGTTTGAGACTCACCAGCAGTACGCATGCACCAGTGACGTTCGTCCAGTCAGGAGTGAGGATGGAGTTCCCGCCGATGACGTTGGTTGGTGGTCGTGCTAAATCACGAATTAGTAGAAGTCAGAATTCATGGACCACTGAATTGGGTTTCGGTGGCTGAATAGTATACGAGCTTGCCTTGTAACCGGAAGGTCCAGGGTTCGAAATCCAGTGAGTGCGTACTGCCAATAAGTCCCAAACTAGGACGAAACGGCTGTCCAGCACTCCCTGGTTTTCAATAGTTCACTGCCTGATATCAGTCCATGGGCGAACTCGGAAAAGATAACTTTAGTCAACTGCTTGCAGGAATTCAAATGTCTATTGACAATAATGTCCGTTAGTTGAGTCAGAGGCACACCACTAACCCTACTAACAGCTTTCATTATTCTACGTAATGTGATATAGTCTTTTTTGGGAAGTTCATGGAAGAATGAGGGTGAACAATAAAGAAGAATGGGCAGAATACATAAATTAATAAATTGTAGGAGAAGACGTTGAGTTATGGTGCCAGAGATTCGAAGAGAAACTGATGCCAACATAAGAGATATTCGATTTATTCTCTCTCACACAGTGCCGTCTTTTTCGCATCTGGCATCTAAATCAGCAATATGCCGTTTAGATGGGCTCAGTTTAAGACCACTTAGGTGAGACCATTTATTAACTTTAGATAAGAATCTATTCATAACAGAACAGTCCAATGTAGAAACTACTGGGACAGAAATGGTAAAATCATTGGCATATTTAATGAAATTAGCTTTGGAAGAATACAGAAGGTCATGTGAAAAGAAAGATAAAAGGAATAGAGAGAGTACAGCCCCAAATGAGGCACACCAGTTTTCGTTAGCAACGAAGTGGAGAGCTTTCCATTCAAAACAGTATGCTGTTTTCGACTCAAAAAATAAGAAGACAGCCACCTTGTGCCCCAGAACTGAGTGTTTTCTGAAATCAGCTTGCTTAGTAATACTGCCTTAGGAATAGAGTCAAAAGCAGAGCAGCAGTGTAGTCGAAAAATGAGGCTCGAACAAACTTTGCACCTTTATCAAGACTTGAAACAATATTGTGGTGGAGTACAACGAAAGCATCTAAAGTGTTTCTACCGCATTTGTAAGCAAACTGCTTCGGTTCATTAAAAGATTTCAAAGAACGTTTATGAAAATGCTAGAGAAGTTTCTCCATAATTTTTAAAACTCAAGATGTGATGGCGATTGGCCTAAACTTTAGATCTGATCCAGAAGATGATCTCGGTACTGGCACCACCTTTATTTCCATCTAGGAAACAGGTACTGGGGCTATGAACACTATACTTAATATGTGCAGTGTCTATCTGCCACCACAAAAAATGAAATCAAATTTTTAACCTGTGATTTATTGTGTGAAGTAAGTTAATTGGCTCAATCAATAATCCCACTGCTACTCATATTACATAATAGATTAATCTTAACAGTATACGATACATTGTAAGGATTTCTGTAACAAAGTTTTATTACTTGACACCAGCACGTCGAAGAAAACGTTAACAGAATATTAACATTTCAAAATGAAGTCTCATATTGTTAGAATTCAATTAGAGACAAATCGTGAATGTATTTTTGCAGCTATTGATTTGTTCTACAGTTTCCCCCTTTCATCCAAAATCCTGTAGTCAGCACTTTAAGTTATTTCACGAAGTTCAGGTATCATGTCTTCTGATGGCCATCTTTAACTTATATTTACAGAAGTGTGGTTATTTCAACTGATGCTTATTTGTATAAATTCTACGGTGCTGTGTTAATCAGTCAAAACCTCATCAATTAATGTTTATCCTTCGGAGCCCCGCCCCCTGTCACTTCCATTCAATTGTCTATACCTGGGATAAGCAATTTTATGAAGGCAGCTTTGACTGAATACATAGACTCAAGAATCCTCTACCTTGCACCATCATTCGGAACACTGTTTAGGGAGGGTAAAACAAAGTATTATGCCGTTACACTTGACTCGGCTAGAATATTCGAAGGTTGTGTCCCCACTAAATGTTGCTTAGGTCGACATATCTCAGTAGGATTTTTTTGTGTATTGTATACAGAAATTTCTTCATCTGACTACTTCCCAATTCGTTCAGTTTGAATTAATGAACTGAAACAGAAAATGCATTAGTTTTGCATGACTGTGGACCCGATCCTACACGGTTTGTTCAAAGTGGTTTTTAGGATTTCGTCCGTCTGCTGGCTATGAAGCGGAGCCGGGTAAGTTGAGCTGTACAGTTTTTATGGCCGATCTTTCCTAACTCAGAAGCACAACTACCTTAGTGGTCATCTGAGGGAAATATCCTTCTATCGTTACATCTTCATTTGCCGGCAGTATGGATTAGTCCTCGGACCCCCAACGTAAGGGAGATACACTATGTTGGTAACTGGATTTAATCTAACTGAATACTCAGACGACCTTTCTAACATGATAAGACCTACAAAAACATTCGTTTCATCCGGCTTAACTCGTCGGATTATTTCGAGATATACAAGCCTGACCTGCGCAATACAAGTTAGCGGCTACCGGTCAGGATTTTGTAGTCATGTGTTGATAGAGTGTGAATTTCTTCTTTCAGGGCTGTTGTGAGCAACAAATCTTTCTCTTTAGAAGCTTCATCCACGAATAATATTTGTTCATTTCATTTTGGGGTTGTTATTCATCTGCGTACAGTCTCTCACATTTACCACAATGATTTATTGTACGATTCTTGAGAGGAGAAAATGAATTAGCTGTTTGGGGATAGTAACATTAAAAATAAGATATTGCAGTTCTATAAATCAATGACAGTTACATAACAAGACATAAAATGCAATGCTTAGGTTAATTGAAGTCCAACGACGGATTCTATTCACATATGGATAAATCGACTTTCAGCCGCTCTCTCGTTAGCTTGGTTATTTAATTTCACGTCTGTTTCAACGGGTGATAATGCATTTTTTTAGGTTTAACTGTCTTTATCTCTGATGTTTAATTTTAAAATATTATGTAGTTGTGAAATCCTATTTAAACTGGTATTTCAAACAATCCAATTTTTAAAAACAGCCTTGAGCCCACTTCAATTACCCTCTTTTTTATACAACCTACGCATATCACCAACTAACTAATCGTGGTAACTAATTCGTCGTAGGCTAAATAATAAACGCATAACATAAATATTTATAT